TTGCACGCCGTCTACAAACTGCAGCACACACAGTTAAAGATGTTAAGCGTATTGTTAAGTTTTGATTACGAAAGAGACAGCAAAGGTACCTGGCAAAAAGATGGTCCAAAGCAAGCTGGCACTCAAACGGGCCGATGAAAATTTATTACACCATGAAAAATCAGAAGGGACGGGGCGAAGGCCCTCTCAAACGCAGCCGGCAGGCCAAGCTAGGCCCGCTCCCTGCCGAACCAAGTTCTAACACAGCACCCTGTATTTCCACGAGTCTCTCTAGCGCGTTGGCTAAAGATGCAAGAGCATCAGCTGATTTTTTGTTTACAGCAAGGTGAGCAACCAAATGCTCATTCTCGACGACCATGTCCTCGTCCAACTCCATCTCCTTCCTATACCTCTTCCTAGTCTGCTTACGCAGATCTGAATCCAACCTCTTGTTTGACTTTTTTGCAGTCGACACAGGTGTTGATGTTGACCTTGAGGCACTGACGACTTGAAGGGGGTAGAAGGATGTACGTACAGCACCATCTTCGAGCTCGATCGACACCATCCCACCATCAATTATACTCAGGGACTCAGGGTCGTGTCTTTCGCAACTTCATCTACCTTATTCTCTGTGGTGGATTGTTCTAGTGAAACTTGTTCCCAACAAATGTCAAAAATATTAAACTTGGTGACCACTTTATATGTCAAACATGCATTTAAAATTAATAACAGAGGCTTACTATATCATCATCAGGGTCCTGCGTCGCATTTCCCTCAGGAGCAGTTTTGGAAAGTAGTTGATTAATGCAATTTTCCTCTCAAACCGGAACATTTTTCATTGGTATTTTATTCCCAGTGGGAGCTTTGGCCATGTTGTTGTGCTGGTTTTTTCATTTACATTCATTTTTCCAATCGGTGTAACACTAAGGAAAAACACAATACCATTCAGTTCTGTTGAGCTGTTTCTTATGCGAAGTGTTAACATTTAATTCACAACTCTCACCTTCATCCACAGCTGCCATGTTTTAGTAGCCCCTGGCATAGCGTTGAGAATGCTTGTTAGTTGCTCCCAAGTTTCTACCTTCGCTTTCTCATCGACACTTGAAACCTACAAGCACGGAGTTCGTGGAGTCTCCGTATAAACCCGTAGTTCCAGGCAGCTCCATACAGACACGCAGTTCAGCGGGTCCCCGTATAACGTCGTAAGTGCTTGAAAGTCACTTGTGAGATGTAGCGCTTCGAAGTTTTGGATTTACATTGCGCCTTATGGGCGGCTGAAATTTTGTCGATATCTCTACTGGTGCGGACTGGGGACTTGGAGATAATGGAGTTGATGTGCTGGTTTCGAAATCTCTTATTTATTCTGAGAGCGGCAAATATTTTCCTGAAAAAGCATCGATTACCATAGAAAAATAAAAAAAAAATTGCCACTGGATCTATAGGCTTCTCATGATTTTCTTCACTGTCGACATCTCACGGGCTCTTGGGCAACAGTCAGTGTTGTGCATAATGTCATCATCAACTTTTTGCACCGAATAATTGAGTGCATCTTGATTGTCGCCTAGTCATCAGGCAAAATATTGTGCACGCTTACCTGTTGCACTCTGTTGGCGGGATGCTCGATGAAACCACCCCACTGGTCGGACTTCTGAGAGGGATCAGCGACAGGTGCAGGGAGTTGAAAGATGCAGAAAATAACCATTCAGGCCCTCTTCCGCAGGGCAACGAGGTAGGAACGAGATGACATTTTCGTGGTTGCAACAGATAAGTACCAAGTCGACCCTCCCTACGTACAAGTGGCTATCTTTTTGGGCGTGGCAGACAAAAGGCTATCTTTTTGAGCTTGGCAGACAAACGGCTAACTGCTTTTCCCACCTCGCGACTTTGGGTTCTAATATCTCACAGTAGACGTTATGAAACACTATGAGCGTTTAACCAATTATTCTTTGCGGTTGTCAAAGCAGGAAATTTCTTACCCGGTAATTTTATGTCTCTTGCTTCGGGAGTTATTCAATATAAAAGTGGACAACCCTAACCTCAAAGAAAAGCAGATAGCCGTTTGTCTGCCAAGCTCAAAAAGATAGCCGTTTGTCTGCCACGCTCAAAAAGATAGCCGCTTGTGCGTAGGGAGGGTCGAAGTGTTACAAGCCCTGCTAACACATTGTTTTGTTTAGAAACGAATAAAGATTGTTATTCCATCAAATATTATTACTTTTGTACTTATGTACCAGCTGTCATCAATCACAACGGTCTTTTTTTGTTCCAGTGAAACCTCAGATGTAGGAGCCAGTTGCAGCAAGCCGCAGCACTCTGTGATGTTGTCATCATCTGGGACACAGGAATACTGTGATTGCCCACAGCGGGACTCACCGCTAGCACAGCGTAGAACACGGGGCGGGGCAGTTCCCCTTCTCACCCTGGGGCTGCGTTCCGGATAGAACCGCCTGTGCTGTCCAGATATGCCGTCCCGCTCAGTGGCGCCTGTTCCTTTAGCAATGCCATCTGTTTTTCCGACGACCAAGCGTTGGCAGAATATAGGGAAGTTGTGAAACAGCACACACAATGAGGGCAACGCCTGGTGCACTAGGCATCCCATGCTACTCGAGCTGACTGGGTGCAGGCGTGCAGGCGAGGAGGTGGGTAGGGTACTAAGCCCTTCCCCCCTTCCTTCAGTCAAAGAAAATCTGGGCAAGTACGCTCTGAGAGCGTTTGGCTTATTGGGGCCTTGGGTGGGCAACCTCATGGCAAACTTAGGGTCAAGACCCTGGCAGAGCCCTCGCGTCGTTTGGGCCGATGGGCGCTGCCAGTCGCTAGCGATGCAAGGAGGTGCCGCAGGTCGGTTCACGACCCTCTCCTCGTGAGGATAGCCGCCGGGCACTCGTGGGTGACTTTGCGCATTTCGTTTGCTAGCATCTGACACACCCACGCCCACGTGTACGTGTTGCGACCAGGGTTGGGCACGCTACTTTCAAAATGTAACGATTAACGCTATCGTTACTTCGGACGAAAAGTAATCGCTATCGCTATCGTTACTGACCGTCAGAATTGTAACGCGCTATCGCTAACTCGTAACGTGTAGCGGCGTTATCGCTACTTTTAGTTTAAGCAGTCCCTTATGTCAATAAACAAGGTGGCTTGCTCGTTTTTACTGATTTCCTGGAAAATGGGGTTGCATGTTCGAATAACGGCAAATTTAATTTACTAGTCAAGTAATTCTTGTAATTTTAGTTACATATACATAAATATATAAATCAGAATAAATCAGAATGGCACAAAAGATGGCACACAATGGTTACTTAATAATTATGAGTAAGAACAGTATAACGTTTTGCTTTGATAATTCAGCACCTTTTGCCCCAGTGCTTTTTGTTCACTTTCAACACGACCCCTTTTTCTAAAGTTGCGTCACCAATCCGCGTGCGTAGCTTAGAAAAGTGATGCCCACTGCTCGTAGAGAAAAATCTCTCTACACTGGCGCTAGAGGGCAAGGAAGTGTTATACTTCAAAAAGAAGTTGGGCAAGGCGTGGAAAGTCTCGCTTGCCGTTGGAGCCCTTGGCATAGCATGACTTCACAGCTTGTGATGCATGCAGTGGCGGGGTGGAGATGTATCTCTCTACCTCCTCGGCGGCGGTCTCCACCACGTTGGCTGAACGACGGGGAGCAGAGTCCTTAAAACCAAAAAATTCATCTTCCGGTGTTTGCTCTACGTCACCGAGGCCCTCCTCATCGACGGCTGCCTCGCCATACGCATTGTCCAGCACCCCTGTCCAGCCGACCCCTGCAGACAAGCGAGGAGAGTGGTGGACGCCCGGACGCCTGCCGCCGTTGTAATGCGCGTTTAGCAACAATAACACGTCAAAAGTAGCGATAGCGGCGCTACGTTTTTGCGCAGGAAAAGTAATCGTTTACGCTAACGTTACTGACGACCAAAATTTCATCGCGCTACCGTTAACGCTAAGTGGCGTTAGCGAAAACGCTGTAACGGCGTTACTCGCTAAAGTAGCGAACCCAACCCTGGTTGCGACCGAAGACACGCAACAGGGCGTTCTCAAGCTCCTTCTGGAGGCTGTTTACGTTTCCTTTTTGGTCGCCACAGTTCCTGATGGCCATCCGCACGCGCTTCACGAGCCGATCTATGCGCGTCTGACCGGGCCCTTGGCGCTGGCACTGACGGACTCCGGCTTGAGGAGGTTGTGCGCCTGGACGGGGTACTCCTTGGTCTTCTTCAGCAAGCCGTGGAGGTGGTCACTGAGGCGAACAGTAACATGATTGTCACAGTGCAGTATCCTTACTTCCCGGCCGTAAGCATACGTTTGTACTATTTGCGCGAATGTGCTAGAGTCGCCATCACCAATGTAGAAGTGATTTTGTAGTTTGTGGGTTTCCTCGCTGTCCATAAACCCCTGCACTATAGTATCCTGCTCCATTGATGTGGCGCTCCTGGTCCAATTCTTGTAGCACACATGCTAATTGGGCTCAGACTAGAAACGCAAGTGTGTGAATGTCCCACACTTGCAAGTGTGTGAATATCTATTTGTACACTTAGAGAGGTAAAGGTGTGAATGTTTCCTAGAAAATTGACACGTTTACCCCCTGAAGTGTACGAATGGATATTCACACACCTGCAAGTGTGTGACATTCCAAAGTAGAATGAAAATCGGGAATTTACACTTGGCGGGGTTTCCTTGTAGGTCGGGAGAACTGGGAGAGACATCTTCGTTTGCCGCCTCTCAACTCTGGTGATGTGATGGATTGGCCTGCCGGCGTGGTGGGGCGGCGCAGTCTGGAAGGTGAAGTGTGCTGATTCCACAGCGGCAGTGCACCGGCCAGGGAGGACACGGACAGATCCAGCAGATACTGGCCGCCCACCGGCTCGAGTTGCCTGTAATTAAAATAAGCCTTTTAAACATTTGTTTCTGTATTGTGCGATTTTGTTTCATACCTACAGAATGTTCATACCGGAAATCGCCGAAAACAATTGTCAAGAGCCCCCGGAACGGAACATACTGACCCTTGGCTTCTTTGCAGCGCAGCTCGATGAGAACCAGCTGAACTTGAGAGACCATG